TGTGATTCAACACTTTGCTCCCGTGCTACAGAATCAACACGTGTTGATTCACACAGACAACATGGTGACTGCTGCGTACATAAACCGCCAGGGGGGTGTGCGTTCAGCCCAGATGTTACACATTGCGCGAAAGCTACTGTGTTGGGCTCACCAAAACCTGCTCTCCATCAGAGCGGTTTACATACCCGGTGTTCTGAATAGAGGGGCAGATGTGATGTCCAGGGGCGGCCCACGTCACGCGGACTGGACCCTCCATCCAGACCTGATGTTTCAGACGTGGCAGAAGTTTGGCAAAGCAGCTGTGGACCTGTTTGCGACGCGAGAGAACGCTCAGTGTCACTTATGGTTTTCCCTGAGCCCGCGAGACGATCCACCGCTGGGGGTGGATGCATTTGCTCACAGCCCGTGGCCCAAAGCGCTTCTGTACGCGTTCCCCCCACCTCCTCTGATTTTACGGTTCCTGAACCGAGTTCAGGAGGAGGGATTGACAGCTCTCCTGGTAGCTCCCGAGCGCGTGAACGCACCATGGTTCCCAGTCCTGCAACGTCTATTGTCGGGTCGTCCGTGGAAACTGCCGTGGAGGGAGGATGCTCTCCTTCAAGCAGGAGGAGCGATCAGGAGTTACCCAGAAATAGGCCAGCACCTGTGGGTCTGGCTGCTGAGCGGTCCCGCTTAGAGAGGATGGGTCTCCCTCAGGAGGTAGTGCGCACAATTCAAGATTCACGCGCTGCATCTACCACAGCTCTGTACACATCAAAGTGGACGGCCTTTCAGCGCTGGTGTACAGAGAAAGGTTTAGAGGCCACCTCATGTCCATTAGGTGGCGTGTTGTCTTTTCTTCAACAGCTGATGGACAGGAAGTTGGCATTCAGCACGATTAAAACGTACGCTGCAGCCATCTCTTCCTGCCACGAAGGGTTCGGAGACAGAACAGCTTTTAATCACCCGCTGATGAAGCGGTTTCTAAAAGGTGTACAAAGACATAGGCCGGTTTCACGCCCACTTGTTCCACAGTGGGATTTAACGCTGGTCCTGCGAGCCCTGATCAAAGCCCCATTTGAGCCTCTGGATCAGGTTTCACTTAAATTCTTGTCTCTTAAAACAGCCCTGCTGCTGGCTTTAACATCCGCTAAGAGGGTGAGTGATTTATCTGCCCTCTCTGCCGCTCCGTCATGTCTCAGAATCCAGGCTGACGGTAGTTCAGCTGATTTAAGACCAAACCCAGCTTTTATGCCTAAAAACATCACGAGCTCTTTTAAATCAAGACAGATATCGTTGGAGGGATTTTTCCCTCCCCCCCACAGATCAGAAGAAGAAGCATCTTTTCATCTTCTCTGTCCGGTGCGGGCGTTGACGTGTTACATAGCGCGCACAGCTGCAATGCGTCAAACTCAACAATTGTTTGTGCATTATAGAGATGCTTCTGCAGGTCGCCCGTTATCCACCCAGCACTTGTCACACTGGCTGTGTGAGGCCATTTCTGAAGCCTACAGAGCATCAGATTTAGAGCCTCCTGTCAACCTCAAAGCACACTCCACCAGGGGTATCGCATCTTCGACTGCTCTGCATAATGGTATGTCATTGCAGGACATTTGCACTGCGGCTGCATGGTCAACACCCTGCTCATTTATTCGCTTTTACCTACGTGATGTGACGGCTCGTTCCATGACACATTCTGTCCTTAGTGCTCTAACAGAATGAATATTGTTGTTCTCATGGAACTCTGTTTAAGCTCACTTCTGTCTGCATGCATTACAGTGTGAGATGTTGTTATCAGTCACAAGTTGTGTCTGTGATTTTGGTTCTATTGTCACTAATCAGTTCATGATTATTGTTACCAATCAGTTCATTTGATCAATAATCAGTTCATTGATATTAATCTGTTTATACTGTTCAGCCATGAACCAGTTGGTTCATGCCCCCCCCCCCCCCTCTCTTTTCAACATCTTCTCCCCGTTGAAAGTTTTCCGGGGCGTTCGTGCCTTGTCAGAACGCATAGTTACACAACATGCGTCTGTGCATGGCACATAATTACGCGATGCGTAGTTATGCACACGGGGAGTTGAGTGACAAGATGTTTTTTTTGGGCAAGCTTCCGCTTCTTACTGTGTTCGAATGGACCCAGAGAGGCGAGGACCACATCCGCTTCGCCCTTAACGCATCAGCGACAGCCTTAAAGGGCGAAGCCTATATGACATAGAACGTTGGTTACGTACTGTAACCCCAGATTCTATGAATATAGGCGTAGCCCTTTAAGCGTCGGGCCTCACTGGCTCCTAAATGGCTGAAGAAAAAGCTATTTTGGGAGCCGATTTCCCGCTCTTAACGTAATTTATACGGACCGGGTGGGGCCCACACAGCAGGTGGGCGTGGACTAAATTTTTTCAGTGCTTATGCTGCGCATAACGGGATAAACCCATCAGCGACAGCCTTAAAGGGCTACGCCTATATTCATAGAATCTGGGGTTACAGTACGTAACCAACGTTTATTATTATTATTAAACTTATTATTTTGTTATAGTGTAGCGCGACGTGTGCTCGTGCCTCGTTCTATAAACAGCGACATTAGAACTGGATCAGATTGTATCTCTTCCAACACAGATGTCGGTCACAGCACCTGGAATCTGACGTAGATTAACTACGAAATTAAAAATATATTCCATCAGTCATAGTTCTGAAAGCACTGTCCGCCGCCATGTTGATAGAAATATAGCATCTGTCCGCGCGTGCGTGTGCGCATGTGGTTTAACACAAAGCCTCAGCGGGAGATGTTTACATTATCAGTGGGGGGTCAGCAAAAAAACTCCACTCTGGAAGGTGGGTTCAGAAACCTCCGAATTCAAAGAGGGGGGCCACTGGTGTCGTGTAAATGATCAGCAGAACCGCAGAGAGAAAGCTGCGGATGCACTCAAAATATGCGCCGTGTAAACAGCCCCTTAGTTCCTAGGTTCTTCAGGGACTACAGTGCCTTGCGAAAACATTCGGCCCCCTTGAACTTTTCAACCTTTTGCCACATTTCAGGCTTCAAACATAAAGATATAAAAAAAATTTTTTTTGTGAAGAATCAACAACAAGTGGGACACAATCATGAATTGGAATGAAATTGATGTGTCAAACTTTTTTTAACAAATAAAAAACTGAAAAGTGGGGCGTGCAATATTATTCGGCCCCCTTGCATTAATACTTTGTAGCTCCGCCTTTTGCTGCAATTACAGCTGCAAGTCTCTTGGGTATGTCTCTATCAGTTTTGAACATGGAGAGACTGAAATTCTTGCCCATTCTTCCTTGCAAAACAGCTTGAGCTCATTGAGGTTGGATGGAGAGAGTTTATGAACAGCAGTCTGCAGCTCTTTCCACAGACTCTCGATTGGATTCAGGTCTGGACTTTGACTTGGCCATTCCAACACCTGGATACGTTTATTTGTGAACCATTCTATTGTAGATTTGGCTTTATGTTTTGGATCATTGTCTTGTTGGGAGATAAATCTCCATCCCTGTCTCAGGTCTCTTGCAGACTCAAACAGGTTTTCTTCCAGAATGGTCCTGTATTTGGCCCCATCCATCTTCCCATCAATTCTGACCAACTTCCCTGTCCCTGCTGATGAAAAGCAGGCCCAAACCATGATGCTGCCACCACCATGTTTGACAGTGGGGATGGTGTGTTCAGGGTGATGAGCTGTGTTTCTTTTACACCAAACATATCGTTTTGCATTGTGGCCAAACAGTTCGATTTTGGTTTTATCTGACCAGAGCACCTTCTTCCACATGTTTGGTGTGTCTCCCAGGTGACTTGTAACAAACTTTAAACAACACTTTTTATGGATATCTTTGAAATGGCTTTCTTCTTGCCACTCTTCCATAAAGGCCAGATTTGTGCAGTGTACGACTGATTGTTGTCCTATGGACAGACTCTCCCACCTCAGCTGTAGATCTCTGCAGTTCATCCAGAGTGATCATGGGCCTCTTGGCTGCATCTCTGATCAGTCTTCTCCGTGTTCAAGATGAAAGTTTAGAGGGACGGCCGGGTCTTGGTAGATTTGCAGTGGTCTAATACTCCTTCCATTTCAATATAATTGCTTGCACAGTGCTCTTTGGGATGATTAAAGCTTGGGAAATCTTTTTGTATCCAAATCCGGCGTTAAATTTCTCCACAACAGTATCTCGGACCTGCCTGGTGTGTTCCTTGGTCTTCATGATGCTCTCTGCACTTTGAACAAAACACTGAGACTATCACAGAGCAGGTGTATTTATACGGAGACTTGATTAGACACAGGTGGATTCTATTTATCATCATCAGTCATTTGGGACAACATTGGATCATTCATAGATCCTCACTGAACTTCTGGAGTGAGTTTGCTGCACTGAAAGTAAAGGGGCCCAATAATATTGCACGCCCTACTTTTCAGTTTTTTATTTGTTAATATAAATTTCATTCCACTTCACGATTGTGTCCCACTTGTTGTTGATTCTTCACAAAAAAATACAATTTTATATCTTTATGTTTGAAGCCTGAAATCAGAGTCAGTCAGAGTTTCTTTATTGTCATTCGCACCTCATGTGGTACATGTGGTGGAGCGAAATTATGTACACGGGGTCCCAGTTACATCCAACAATAAAATGTATAAGAAAAACAGTAATAACATCTAAGATATGAACTAAGAAAAACATCAACTAAATATACACTAAGCACTCATAACTATAAAATATGGCAAAAGGTTGAAAAGTTCAAGGGGACCGAATACTTTCGCAAGGCACTGTATATCAAGTTCAAGGAGCTCTTTCTAAAACATTCTTGGGTTTAGATCATTTTTCTTAAATGCTTTATATTTACAAGTTTATTTTATAAAATACATTATGGTGGCTGTTGATGGTAATATTTCCATTGCATTTGATTTGCTACATTGTTTTTAATGTATGCAAGAGTGTAGATCTTAACTCTGACTGCAGTTTGATGCTGCAGTGAAGCTCTCTCAGTTTGACTTTGTGTCCAATCTCTGCAGCCATCCGGTTTGGCAGGATGCCTCAGTCAGAGAAACTGAAACTCAAGGCGGAGATGGTGACAGGGGACAGGGAGGAGGTGAACCCCCACCTTGCTGATCAGAAGACACTGGCCAGGCAGATATATGAGGCCTATCTCAAGAACTTCAACATGAACAAGTCCAAGGCGCGAACCATTCTCACGGGCAAGACCAGCAACCCTGTACGTTGACTAAGTTTGGTGGGTTGGTGACTGAAAGACATTTGCATTTTGGGATTAACACCTTCTCTCCTCGCCAGAGTTTCCTCACAGGCCACATGAATGTTTCATTGCAAACCTTGATTTATTTAGCCCTATTGGGATGATTGCAAAGTGATTTGTGTAATGCTAAAAATTGGCCAACAAATTGTCTCAGTGGCAGTTAGTACAACAAAGACTGTGTGCAGACAGTTTAATGATGAAGACATCCTGCTCGTTTCAAAGTGTGAGCCAACTCAACGAGCTGGACGGCAAGATGTCTGTCAGTGTATGAAGCCATCACTCTGCCTTCATCATCACTTTCCCTCCATCCACTCTGACCTGGCATCCCTTTCTTTGCAAATTCAAATATTTTTTTTAAATTATGGTGCCACTTTTTAAATCAGAACCTTGTGTCCCTTCAAATGAAAAATGTTGCCTTTATCTGATCTAGAAAGAATTGCTGCTGAAAGAGGAAGAGTTGAAAGTTGAAGTCCATAAAATAAAATGTCTTTCTACCTAATATTTAACAACTCTTATGTGGGGAGATACTGTATGTCAAGCCAGTTTTGGCTTTGTGGACATCTTTACAGCAGACACAACAACATGCCTCACTTTGTAATGGCAAAGAAAAGGCACTTCAGCCCTGCCTCCAGTTGGCAGCCTGAAACGAGACCTCATGTATTACTGTGAGTGCTCTAAGGCTAAATTAAGCTTTAATTTATTTATTTATTTAAGGACGTCTGCTGTTTAAAATAGTATATGTACTGTCAATAGTAGGGATGCACGATATTGGATTTTTGGCCGATATTCGATATGCCGATATGTTAAACTTGTTTGGCCTATCTCCGATACCAATATATTTTTTATACTTTCCTTTGTCAGAACATAGCCCTCTTATTTAGGCTTATTTGCTACAAAAATTTGTAACAGCTAGGGGTTGAACGAGTATATAATTTTTAAACTCGACATTAACATAATAAAACCCGAGTAGAACTTGAGTATTTGATGACGTCATAGATCTCAAGATACAAAAATAAATAAATAAATAAAACCGCAAAAAAAGGTAATTATTTACAAAAAAAAAGACCAGCAAAACATTGGGAGCGTATATTATGCTCCTACCATTTATCATACTGCAAATAAGTCACAGGAAAAACTAAACTATTAGTTATTATTATTAAACTGCAAACGTGAAGAAACATGCAGCACGTCAAAAACGAAACTTAACGGGGGGGGGGGGGGGGGGGTCGACCACCCTGCACCACCGCCAGCTGT